TTCTAAAAATGGCAAAAAATCTAAAAAAAAATCTGAACTTGCTATCTACAGTCTATACTAATACTGTGCTATATGCATACATGTAACTAATATTAAGTACATTGTATGTGTTGAACAAAAAATGCAAAAAATAAGCGAAATGTATCAAACTTTTCAATTAGGTACTGTCTTTTTTAGGTTTATATTTTTAATTTCAGGTATAGTATGCAATGAAAGTCACAGCAAGGAGAAAACTAAGTGCTTCAATATAAACTGCGTATGAAATTAATTTGAAATGAGTTTAGTAGAAAATTGTTTACCACTTGAACAGTATCTGACATTTCACAAAAATACAATTCAAAATTCCCAGTTTATATTTAAGAAATACAGGCAGTGAAAGTCAACTTTTGTTGTTTTTTGTTTCTGAATAATTTCAATAAAAATTGTATAATGGTGCGTATAAAGCTCAAAATGAAAACTCAGAACCATTGAACTATTTAAAATGTCAGGTATTGTTGGCTGTGATGAACAATGTCCAGCCTATCATGCCGCAACACCAGAAATATTAAAATGTTCCATGAAGGTTCAAGGAGGATTTGCAGATCCCATATATGGTATTTTTTAGATGACTGAATATATTTTCATTATAAAATATTTAGAAATACATAATTTAGAGCTGTCACTAAGTTCAAGTTTAATTTTCCTAGATTGCCTTTTTACTCAACTTCATTGTTAGCATGTGAACCTTTTACACCTCCCTTGGTAAATATTGTTGGAACTCATGGGAGCAAATCCTCCTTTGCCTATATCTCTAGTTTCTAATAATGTAGTTCTAATTCTGTAACTCTAAATTCAGTTCACCCCATAATATCAAAAGTTCAGTATAATACCACTATAGTCATATAGCAATGCAACATATTAAGGTAGGCCTTGATGGAGAAATTTGCAACTGCAGGCACATGTATTTTGAAGCAGCATGTAAAAATTCATGTTAATTAATTAGGACACTGTATAACTTGACTTTGCCTTAGATATGTCAGAAATAATTTATGGCTTCGTCTAAAAGTGCTTGAATTATTTCCTTCAGGCCATTACATTAAGTGATTAATTAGACTTAAAGAGGAAACGTTGAAAAAATGTTGGCAAATGTCGGAGAGGTTATAGTGTGTTTTAAAGGTTGGATAGGAAATCAGTCTTATTCATATTGTGTCTGTATTTTCAGAGCCAAGGAAACAATACATTACATGTTGTAATGTTAGCTATAGCCTTTCTGTTTGGACGATACAATACATTATAAGTTGTACTGTAGGCTATAGCCTGTATGTTTGGAAGATATACCCAGAAAACCCTCCTTAAAGATACAATACATTACAAGTTGTAAAGTTAGCTAAGCCTTCCTGTTTGGAAGATACAATACATTACATGTTGTACTATAAGCTATAGCCTTTCTGTTTGGAGGATATACCCAGAAAACTCTGTTAAAAGATACAATTTATTACAAGTTGTACTGTTAGCTATAGCCTTCCTGTTTGGAAGATACAATACATTACAAGTTGTACTGTTAGCTATGGCCTTTCTGTTTGGAAGATACAATACATTACAAGTTGTACTGTTAGCTATGGCCTTTCTGTTTGGAAGATACAATACATTACAAGTTGTACTGTTAGCTATGGCCTTTCTGTTTGGAAGATACAATACATTACAAGTTGTACTGTTAACTATGGCCTTTCTGTTTGGAAGATACAATACATTACAAGTTGTACTGTTAGCTATGGCCTTTCTGTTTGGAAATACAATACATTACAAGTTGTACTGCTAGCTATGGCCTTTCTGTTTGGAAGATATACCCAGAAAACTCTGTTAAAAGATACAATACATTTCATGTTGTACTGTTAGCTATAGCCTTTCTGTTTGGAAGATACAATACATTACATGTTGTACTTTAAGCTATAGCCTTCCTGTTTGGAAGATACAATACATTTCATGTTGTACTGTTAGCTATAGCCTTTCTGTTTGGAAGATATGCCCAGAAAACTCTCTTAAAAGATACAATACATTACAGGTTATACTGTTAGCCATAGCCTTTCTGTTTGGAAGATATACCCAGAAATCCTCCTTTAACCTAAAAGTGTGTATCCTTTATTATGTACAGGTACACAGATTCACAGGTACAGAAGCACAAACTGCAGCTACACAATTGAGGACTTAACTAAACCAAGCACCTTGAATAAATGTGAATACTGAGATGCATTGCAGATTTTTGGGTGAAGTGAGAATTGAACTGGCACCAGAGGAAACATGCTAAAGATCCAAACCGAGCTATCAAAATAGTCACCACTCTTGGCCTACATTTTCTAAATAAATAAAAGAGCAAGAGGACAGATTTTATTTCATGAAACAGCCTAATTTATCAGTTAAATGGTTAAATTTGCGAATGCCATTCCTTTTTTTGATTTCTAACTTCTGCAAATGAAATCTTCCATTCCTACCATATTTGACCCAATGTTAATGTAATAATGTAAGAGTGGTGGATTTATTGAAAATACTACTTCCAGCATTTTATCATATCCACCCTTCACTGCCACTTTAAGAGTTCTCTTAAGAAATGTGTTGAGCTTTTGATATAATTGGGGTGAGTTGAATTTTACTAGAAATAATGAGCTTGTTTATATAGAGTATTTACATCTACACTTGCAAGCTTACAAAAATAGTCCTAATACATAAAAATACATATAAAATAATTAAAACCTAACATCGGTGTTCATTAAAAACATATTGAAAATAAAATAAATATTGAACAAAGTGTTTTGTCTAAATACAGATTGAGAAAAAAATAAATAAGTCTATTCTGAAAAAAAGATTTCATCTACTTCGCCTTTTTATAAACTTGCAAATGTGTTTTTCGGAAATTGAAATGAGTAAAATTTTACTCACATTTGATTGGTTGGTAAATTTAGTGCTGTGTTGCATGCTGGGATACTGCTTCAGCAACTGGATATTTGCGCGTAAAAATGGCGGGAATTTTCTCGAAATCTATGTGAAATATAAGACTAATAATGAAAGTTATTCAGCAGATTATTCTCAAAACTTTATTTTATTTTTATTTTGCTAATAAATATAGAACTTTCATACAAAATAAATTCAATTATTTCCAAGCTATATTACATGAACTGTAAGCATACATAACTTAAAGGCAGAATCAGATCTACCGGGGTGACAAATTTCCAAGCAACATGTACATTCGACATGTATGTATTTGTATGATGTATTTCTTATAATCTAAAATATAATATCTCCCAAATTATCCACAATATGTTATAAATTGATGAAGTTATTCAAGATTCAAAGTGCAAAAATGGGGGGAGGGGAAAATGTTTAAATTCCCCGAAATAACATGGAAACCACAATTCATAGAAAAATTGACACAATATTGTAGAAATCTTTAGTTCTCTTCAAATAGACTTTGAGCTTTGAAAATCTTTAGAAAAAAGACTTTTTGATTTGTAACATTTTTTGTTTCAAGTTTACTTGCTAGATCTGATACTACCTTTAATACACATGCAACATTTTATTTTTAATATCTGTGAAATAGATTCTTTAGATCTGCCGTCCTCAAGAAATACATGACTGAATCTTAGTCACACTTGCACTTTTTGCCTAAGAAAACTGTTGCCATGGCAATCACTGTTGATGTCATACACAAGTAGAGTCATGTGCACAGCTCATTGGAAATTGCATCATTTCATTGTACTGGGGACGTAGCAATGATTTAAAATAGGTGAGGCAAATTTAAAAAATGAGGCAAAACTATAGCTTAAATAAGGCTGTTATGCTTCGGAAGAATAAATAATTTTAGATTTTCTGCAAAGAAATGTTAAAAATATTTTTCCGTAATATTTTGGTGAGGCAATGCCTCACCTGCCTCAGCCATGCTAATATGGTACATTGTAGATTTCTCATATGTAAACAATATATTTCTGGATAATGGACTGGTCGGGTGCAACAGCGTGACTGGTTAGAAAAATGAACAAAGTGTTTTCTTCATTTGAGACAATTCCTTGAACTGTGCATTAGAATTTCCCCTGACTGTGCATTAAGACTGAAATTGTGCATTAGAAAATCCCTTCCTGTGCATTAGACATAAAACTTGGGCCATGCATTCAGCTAGTTAATATGTGAGGTGTATTATAATGATCAAGACCCCATTGTACAGAATAGATTTCTCCTTGCATACAGGTTATGTTCCTCTTTCCATTAATATAAAGCCACAAGAAATAAAGATACTGCAAAGCAAACTAATTGATTGGCTTAATTAGTATAATCTATTTTAATTTGTAATTCATTATTAGTAATAAATAGAAGATTGGAAATATTTATTATATAAAGGAACTGGAACTAATTGAAACAAGTACCAGTTACTGGTAGCTCAAAATGAAACCAGCAAAACAACAGAAGACAATGCATTAACATGCAAAATGGCACCACCTGCCATTTGTTACAGATGCAGAACATGTGTGACATAACAAACTAGGCGTTGATATGACAAAATGTCACCACTGATAATTCATTGCAAATGTCACAACTTCTGAGCTTGTGCTATTTTGTTAAAGGCCCCATATAAAGTTTTAACCACTTTGGCTAAGTCCACCTAAATGGTATCATAATATTTTCAAACTTTACATAGGGCCTTTAAAGCTAGCTTCAAACGCTACTGGCAACTGGCATAAGTAACAATTAGTTCAAATAACTAATACATCAAACATTATATAATACAATGATACAAAGCAATCGGCTTCACAAACAAACAAACAAACAATAAAAACAAACAAACATCTACAAACAAACAAATTAAATATTTTGATAACGAGATGCTTATGAAATTATAATATATCAGTTATATGTTACAATAATTCTACACATTGCATTCACTATATCACAATGACATGTTTTCAGATACTATCAATAAATACATAATAATTATTTCATGAGATCAATACATCGGGTTTACAAAAAGAACTTACCCCCTATTCGCATTAGGTAGAATGGGATGACGATAATCATGCCATGTTGAATCCAATATACTGCGGTTTCAAACGGCAACTAGAAATTACAACAATAAGCAATAGGTTTCATTTATTCATTTCCATGGTGACAAACAACTTATTAACTTAGACTATTACGAATTCTTTCAAGAGAACAATAAAATAAAATAATAATAAGACCGGTAAAGCACTTATAAAATTATGCCTTACAATAGGTAATTTTAGGAATGTAATATGTGCAGTATCTATATAATAGGTAATTTTAGTAACATAGTATCATGCCGTATCTACGGTATAACCTTATGAGTGTTTAATTTGGGTAATTTCAACTTTAAAATTACCTACTTTATAGGTTAATTTTACATGACACCGGTGGGTAAAGACTAAATATAAACAGTAAAACCCATCTAATGTGAATGCCTCTGGAACTGAAAGAAAGTGTTCACATTTCAAAGTTTTATAACCATGTATGTCAATGGGAGATAACATTTTTGGGACTGAGAAAAGTGTTTATATTGATGTGTTCAGATTAGAAACGTGTTTTGATATACAGGTTTAACTGTATCAATATTCTATTGGCCTCAAATATATAGAGATTCAAATGGTGCATCCACTACGGTACTCCTGGAAACTTTTTATACTACTGAAGTCGGCTTGTTTTGTGATTTTGAAATCTAGTTCTAATAATGAATTTTTTAAATTTTGCAGATGTTTAATGTGTTAGAACTCCTGGAATTTTGCAGCTAATTTTATTTTTGTTAATTTTCATAAACTCAAAAATGTGTTTAGTAGACTTAAGCACACAAGAACAGTTCTCTGACAAGTATTTTGGAACATGTTGTAGAAAAGGTCAAAGTGACATTTATGATATATTGTGTTCATCCAATATAATTTATATCAATTTCATACAATGATAGTTTTTAGTTAAACCGATTTGATTAAATTCTTCACATATACAATCAAAAATACATTAGTGTCACCTAATTATGCTTTCTTTTTTATCTATTGCACGCAATGAGCTCATTTCATCAATCTCAATAACTACACCCTGGTTCCATTCTTTTCAAATCATGTATTCTACCCTTGCGTTGTTCGGACTATATTTGTGGATTACTGTATTTAGTGATTATGAGTTGTTAGCAGAAGCATGGTCTTTCAAGAACCTTTGGCAGAAGCAACTTGCAGATGTTATTGTAACATACAGCAAAATCTGTCTGTGAATGCTACTTGGACTAACCAAAGTGTTTGTGTTGTGTTGGAAGGTGTTTACATTTCGAATTTTTTTAATGTGGAAGTCTATGGCAGCAAAATCATTTGAATTGAGAGGTGTTAGAGGGGTACATTAGGTTTTATAAGATTTTTTCATAGTAAGGCTCATTCATTAAACCTTTAGCATGCTGCCGGCATGGCTTTTAAAAACTTTTTCGCACCATTCTTCTGAACTTTCACTATTTCATGATTTATTCAGTGCCTTACGTGACTTCCTGTTGACCTAGAAATAGCAATCTTTTGAAAAATATTTCCAAATTCAACAATTTAAACAGAGTTTTAGTCGTTTTTAGTGAAAAAATCGTACAAAATGGCAGCCAAATACGATCACAACGAAAATGTGGAGGAAATGGATTGTGATTTTGAGCTCTTTTAAAGGCTCTTGGAAGCCGATAATGGTCATCAAAAATAGAAACTAGAATATTTTCTGAACTGAAAAGTTGAACATTCGATCGATATTAATTCACTTTTGGATTCTGACCAGACATTTTGCCTTTCACTTAAATTTCTCAAAAATCATAATTTTACACCCCCTTGAAAAGAACAAAAAATAACTTTAATTAAACGACTGTTGACAACTGGACAAAGAAATCTTCTTTTTACTCACCAATCTTGTATTAACTACTGGGAATATAAGGGCTAGAGTTGCTCCACTGAACATGTGCATATGCATCCTGAATAGAGCCATTGTAAGCTTGGTTGGAGGGGCGGCCAGGAGATATATCTGAAAATACAAGATAGAGCCATTGTAAGCTTGGTTGGAGGGGCGGTCAGGAGATATATCTGAAAATACAAGATCGAGCCATTGTAAGCTTGGTTGGAGGGTTGGAGGGGCGGCCAGGAGATATATCTGAAAATACAAGATAGAGCCATTGTAAGCTTGGTTGGAGGGGCGGTCAGGAGATATATCTGAAAATACAAGATAGAGCCATTGTAAGCTTGGTTGGAGGGGCGGTCAGGAGATATATCTGAAAATACAAGATAGAGCCATTGTAAAGTTGGTTGGAGGGGTGGCCAGGAGATATATCTGAAAATACAAGATAGAGCTATTGTAAGGTTGGTTGGAGGGGCGGCCAGGAGATATATCTGAAAATACAAGATAGAGCCATTGTAAGCTTGGTTGGAGGGGCGGTCAGGAGATATATCTGAAAATACAAGATAGAGCCATTGTAAAGTTGGTTGGAGGAGTGGCCAGGAGATATATCTGAAAATACAAGATAGATATTGTAAGCTTGGTTGGAGGGGCGGCCAGGAGATATATCTGAAAATACAAGATAGAGCCGTTGTAAGCTTGGATGGAGGGGCGGCCAGGAGATATATCTGAAAATACAAGATAGAGCTATTGTAAGCTTGGTTGGAGGGGCGGACAGGAGATATATCTGAAAATACAAGATAGAGATGGATATAAATATTATAAATATACAAGTATCACTTTTTGTGCTGGGTAAAAAAGTGACCACATCAATGTATTTCATAATTTTGGCACTACAAGTGATGTTCTACCTTAGGCCAGGCATAAAAGTGATACCAATTTTTTCCCAAAAAAGTAACCAATCTGGGTATTTGTTCTTTTACGGGTGTAATATATAATCCTGTGTTAAGAGAAACCACCAATGAATATTTAGTACAGGGTATTATTTTATTTTGTTAACCAACCTGGATACAAGTGACAATGTGACATGGATTTAACAGCCAAATCAACCTCTTACTGGCCATCTTAAACCCTAACTCTATACCAAACACCAAACAGTATAACACAAGGACTGCTTTTCTGCCCAGGGAGCTCTTCAACTTTTTACGAAAATCATGAGGTAGTGTCAATGATTTGTAAGAGCACAGACATAGTGCAAATGAAATGATGATAAATACAGCAGATTCGGCAAGTTTTTGGTTAAATGGAATATAATTCCGACATTGTAATCCACCGTTTCCTGGTAAGGTATAATCCACGCCACCGTACAACCAATCAAAAGTCTCCGTTTTATTCACTGCAGCCATTTTGTATCACAGATGAAAAATGATCAAATCCAGTTCTTAATTTGTTATTAACCAGTTCTTACTCATTCCATCTTAACCTGATGCTAAAATTTATGTTCTTTGTTTAAATCTCAATTCCCGATGACTTCAGATCTCTTATACTACAAAACTTTTCACTTTTAGGATGGCTACATTTCTGTCTATCATAAGGCTAATCCTGTTCTCATTTAATTATTTCATAAACTACTTATATCTGTCAGACGACAGCTACATATTAATTCATCTTGAACTTAATGAAATAACCCTCATGTTTTGCCTCGACACTACCATGCGGACAATGCATGCCTGTATGTTATTAACAAAATATATAATAAATAATACAGATGCTCCCATAATTTATTTATAATATCTATCTATCTTTCTACAATTCACCTCCTTGTGAAAACCACCTGCACACTTGTATATTGAACAGTTAAATATTTGAAGAAATCTCATTAAAACTTTTAATAATTTCTATAATAAAATGCCCAACAAGGGCAAGATTATATATATATAAAGATTATTATTATATCAAGATTATTTCCAATCACACATTGTCTGTTACTTTTTCAATTTTTAGAATCTATGAAGGGTTTAATAAATGAATTATTGACATGTTTGCAAGATTTCCATGATAAATGTATATAAAAATAGACTCAAAACAATCATTTACTAAATACACTCGCTAAACATATATCATGTATGAGGGTATTGTTCGCCTGTTATGTTTCTGATAATATTGTTTTTTCTCTATTGAGAAATAGTTTTCATAACAGGTCAGAGCAACATAACCATTATATAATATCATACAACCCCAAAAATGTTGTTTATTCTACAGAAACGCAGTTCTATTGAGAGATATCACGGTTTCCCGATATTTGACCATATTTGGTCAAGATGATCTGTTTCGGGACATGGGATGGAAAGAATTGATATTGTGATGATATCTGACATAAAATCCTTTCCTAGAAATACATAAAAACATGTACAAATATGTACACTTCTCAGCAATAAAAAAGTGTTCATAGTGGATCCAAGATTTCAGGTTGATGGTAATGTTCATTTGCAAATTCCTACATCAATGCCCGCAAATCAAATGCATTATCAGTATGGTGTCCCAAAAGTACCATGTCCCGAGACAATTTTTACAGATCCATCCTGTATCATTTTTTGGACCATGAGACTTCATGTTACCTTTCCAATGGTATGTTTTTGTTACTGCTTTAAAAGAAAGCAGCCTTAACCAATCAGGGGTCCATTTACAGAAATTACATGAAGTCAAGAATTCCTAAATCAGTTGTATCCATGGATATAATGATATCGTAGTACAAGACAAATTACATGTAACTTATAGATAGGAATTTTAAACTTTGTGGAGGTTTCTGTTAATGACTCCCAGAATACTGAAAATATTGGTAGATTAAAATCTAGCTACCTTATCGAAATAGCATTCTGGTACTCATAGCATCTTTCTGTTTCACCTGAAACATGCTCTGATATTATGAGGCAAATTCTGTGATCTGAGCACATCAGATGGGAAGAGTTATAACTGTCAATAAGTGTGATTTATCATGATGTCGAAATAGAATTTTCTGAATTTTATGTTTTCATTAGTATCTGCCATTCATTTTACAATGCAACTCTCATAAAGGGCATGACAGCAACTTCTTGCGTCATTAAAGGCCCGGTCACACCGCCTAAACGTTGCTGGAGCGTTCCTTGAACGTTGAAAAAAATCATCAACGCTCGTAAACGTTCACCACCGTTTAACAAAAGTTGGCATCCGTTAAAGCAACGCTGTAAACGCTCGGCCAACGCGGATGTTTCTCGAGTGGCCATCCTAACGCTCCAAAAGTTTTGAGCTGCTCAAAATATTGCGAGCGTTGAAAAAGGGACAATTTTACGCCCTGGCAAAGTTTATCACCGCTCCACCAACGCCCAGTCAAAGTTTGGCACCGCTAGACGCAAGTTCGTGGACGCTTGAATCCGCTAGACCAACGCAGAAATCTTAAACGCTGGACCACCGCTGCTTCGCCAGCGTTGCCCGGGTGGCGATTAAACGTTGCACAAATGTCGGTGGAGCGGTTGTTAGCGTTTTATCAGCGTACATGGGGTTGTTGGAACGGTGTCGGACGTTGTCGCAGCATTCCATGGCGGCGATGAACTTTGCTTTGGCGTTGGTATAGAGGTGTCGGAGCGGGACCAGAATTTGGCTATAAATACGTGGAGAAATGCACCACGAGCTCTTTTGGAATCGATCCGTTCAGCTCAGTAGTCAAACGCGATATGCTGCTAAACAATCGCTGCTGCTATTTATACCCCCGCCGAGGCAACGCCCTCATGCGCAGAACGCCGCTATACCAACGCTCGCATTACCGCTAAACAAACGCTAGCTACCGCTCGCAACCGCTTAACAAACGCTAAGCCAACGCCCGTGTTTTTGTTTTTTTTCCCCATTTTGTGCGCGTTGACGAGCGTTGATGAATTTTTTCAACGTTCAAGGAACGGTCCAGCAACGTCCGGGCGGTGTGACCGGGCCTTTAGATCTCATCAAAACTGAAAAATAATGAGAGCCTAATATATAGTGAAACCTGTAAAGTGGCACACCTCTAGAAGTGGAACACCTCTTGGTAGAACACTTCGAAATCCCAAGACTAACCAACTTAAATGTTAAATGAATCTCTATTTAAGTGGAATACCTTCCAAATGAAAGATGTTTCACGGAGAGAGCTTTTACTGCACTAGACTCTAAAACTCAGGGTATTTTCTTGGAGTAGGTGCAATGAGATAAAAAATTATGCTTTTTTGTTGGGTAATGAAAGATTTTTTCAAGAGAGACAAATTATCTCACCATGTGAAATCTGTACTAAAAGCTAGTCTTGCTTCAATACTAGGGGGGGGGGGGTACACAATCTAACTAGGAGCTACAGTAATGTGAGAATTAGCAATTCACTATTGGGAGGCATGAGAATATGATGTCCATTGTTAAACCCCTCTGCAGCAATGGAAAGCAGCATACAGATGAAGCAAATTAGTGGCTTGTAGAAAGCTAATTGGTTTTTCTTGATCATTGGGAATGTTTTATCAAAAACAGCAATTAACATAAAGCCAACTGAAATAATTTACATTGACATGTATGTACATGTATGTAGCTCTTAAGATCTTACAATTATCACAATCAAAAGTCAACATACTATTATGTATTTCACAATCTGGGTACAGTGCATGTATGTTTTGGGCACTTTGACATCAGGAATAAGTTACCTTTAAATTACCCTTTCAATAGTTTAATTTCAGTAATTTTCAAATTAGCTTCATCTACTGAAGTTGACTACTAATTGCTGCTAAACTAGAGACGCCGGGCACCAACAAAGGATATACATAGAGGTTATTTAATGGGAGGTTTTTGATAGGGTATATTTGAGGGAAATACAATATATCTACCCGGGGGACCATAGGGATATACAATAAAATACCATATTATATTATTTTTATCAATGTCTTATCTGTAAATATATGTCAAATGTTAAGTGATTTATTTGTGAGGTAAAATAACACATATGACCCAATATGAAGAACTCTTAAGTTAACTGAAGAACACAGAATGGTATTATTAGAGTTTGGAGTAGATAGCCCATATTCACCCATAGGGACATTACAATATACTCATAATAATAAATGTCTTGCTACCAGGACAGTTTGATAGAA